TATATATATTAATATTGTTCATCTCGTCCTTGAGTCAGGGTGATAGTGGAAAAATGCGAGGGGAAAAAGAACTCGCATAGAAAGATGAAATTTGCACCATTCACCTTAAGACCTTAATACTGAACAGGATTTATTCTATAATGGTAAGTCTGCGCATGCCGTACTTCCCCTCTATGTAATGTGTGTGCTGCTAATCAAATGTACTCAACATAAACGACCTTAAGCCTCGTGCTTGTGGTTTTAAAGTGAGTTCAATTTGGTTAACCAATCTGTTCTAATTTTACTTATGCATTAAATAAGTAAAAAATATATATATTGGCTTACTTTTTTGTGATTTTATTAAACCGACACACTTAACCCGCGGGTTGAGGTGAGACAACCCTTATTAACTTGTTTTTATTTTCTATTTTTTTTTATATTTTCCTTTTTTATTTTATTTTAATGTAATCTATATTTTTACTTTAATTATTCTTTAATTTTATTATTATGAATTAATATAATGTTGGATTTTCAGTATTTATGTTTCAATTTTTCAATTTTTAAAAAATTAGATGATTCATCTTGGTCGGCCATTTAACCAACTCATGGTGGATTTGGTTATATTTTTGGGTTTAAAAAAAGGGTTGAACTGATTTGGATTTTCTCTCTTCTAGAATAACCTTTGGCAAGTAAACCTATGTAAGTTGAATTCATTCATTTTGAGATCTTTAGAAGACAATATTTAATCATAAATTAATTTGGCACCTAAACATCTAACCTCTTTTAAGATGATTTGAGGTAAAGAGAAGATAAAGAAAAGAAGAAAAGGAAAAAGATAAAAGAAGAAAAGAAAAATGAAAAATGAAAAATATAATAATAATGTGAAAAGATGTTTATGATATAACCCTTTCACAAATTCTGAAAGGAGAAAATGAAAACCTATAAAATACTATTTTTAATTTGTCTATTCCACTATACCACCACCCTGATCACCACTCAACATGCAGACATCACAGTTGTTGCACCATGTTGGATTTTAAACATGAAAGGTGCAGTATATATGGATGGTTCAAATAAAAATTTATTTGTAATCAAATTATTTATGTAATCGTAGATAGAATACACAAAATTCAATAACTTATTTATCCTAATTCATTATATAATTTTTGTCAACCTTAACCAGTATATTCCCACAGGTATATAAAACCAATCCTTCTGTCACAATAGTGATTCAAATAGTTTCAATTGTTTCGTTCTTTTTTAGTGTTTAAACTTCGATCTCTTTAAGAATGTGGTTCGTATGTCATTCTACTCAACTCTTGTTGGCTATTCTCCAAATATTCTAATCGTAATAAAATACAATAGGTTCTTTATAGTCTATACTATTTCATAACAATTCACTGGACCACCAAAACCAAATGTTAAACAATATGCAGCAATAAAGGAGCGAGAGTTTACAAACTTTACATGAATAGAAGCCTTTGGTTAAAAAATAGCTTCTCAATTAGTATGGAAGCCTTTATATTTATATGATTTAGAAACTAAAATAATTCATATTATTTTGTTGGGGTGAGCCTAACGATTCCCAACAAACTAAAAAGACACTGAATGTACAGTCGATCTCGCCTTCGCTGGGTAATAAGCCAGCAGAATTCCAAAAATTAATTTTAAGAAGTTACCCCAAATAATTAATTAAAATAAAAATTATAATAAGGAAAGAATGAATATAAAGGTCGAATTAACTTCTGCATGTCTTTAGCTTCTTAACTGCTTGGTCAGACTTCCCAGAGCTGGCAACTCTAGAGCGCATCATCTTTTGATTGTTAGAATGTACTTCACCATCCTAGGGGAACATGATCGACAAATTAGATAATGGTACAGAGTTCTACAATGTGGAATTTTAATTTAATGCTAGAATCTAGCTTATGTTTAAGAAAGACCTAGCAAATGGGTATTTAGAGTGTCAATATACCTTAGCACCACACATTGACACTGGTACAGTTGGTCTGATGTTAGCTTGTTTACCAAGTTCAATTTGCACTGAGATGCTAGCCTGTGACAAATCCACCCCTGAACTTTGCAATGCATGAGTAAGCGTATGCAACAACCTGTCCAAGTATAACAGATTTATTTTAATATATAAAATAACCGAAATGCTACTGAAATCAATGTTGCTATCCTAATTACAACATTAATCACTTTGCAAGCATACAGAGAGAAGACTGTTAGCTAGTTCTCTAAGATCACAAAAAGAGAAAAGATACTAAAGATCAGAAATGTAAAATTTTACATAATCCAATAGTTATGCAAAGATTTACTTGGTCCATGCAAATGTACAATTATTTGGACTTATTTCTAATATTGTTTGAATGGAACAGAGCAGCACCACAAACCATCTAACATAAGACAAGTGATCTACTATAAAGAGATAACAAGGATAGCTTTTAAGGAACGAACTGAAATTATGAACTTCTTCCCCGCTCTGCAGCATCATGCCACATCTCTATTTTCTTTCTATAAATGCTCACCAGGGGATGAATCTATTTTATTATTATTGGAATGCAAGTAAAGTCATACATCGTTCCAACTAAAGGATAGACATAAATTTATATACACACAGGTCTCCATTGTTTAGAGATTTTTTGAATGATATCTTAAAACAAAATCATGAGAACTTAGGTATAAAACAATATTTTACTAATATATAGACATGCGTGTTAACAAACAAATCTATACTATATATAATGGGGATTCCTCCCTTTGGTTTTGCACATTTGCTAGACATTTATACTCCTTTATTATATATATATATATATATATATATATATATATATTACCATCATATCTCTTAAGAGAAAAATAGAAAAAAAAATGTATAAAAAAATTAATTATTCACTCTATCAGTAAAAACTATCCTTTTATTTTGTAACAACTTTTAGTCTCTAATTTTGCTTAAAATTATTATTTTTTAATTATATTATGTCACATGATTTATATTATGTAAGCTCTATTATTTTATTTTATTTTTTATTTTTAAACAAAATACATAGAATCCCGAAGTGTTTTCATTCCGCTAATAAATATATTATAAATCCTCACCCTTTTGAGTACACACTTGATATGCTAATGGCACCACCTTCAATAGTAAGCTCTTTCTCTTTCAGCTTTTCATTGGTAGCAGCCATAGTCTGACATTCCACTGAAGGTTGATATTTGGTGTTCACAGCATCAGATGCCGATCTATGTGTGAGCTGAGGCACAGCTCCACCTGGACCACCAATTTGGGTTGGAGTGAAAAAATTTAGCTGTGAAGGAATAGGAATTGGAAAAGCCTTGTTGTTCATGATTCCAGCCTGATGATCCATTGTTTTGGATGTAGTTGCTGTGCTCAAGCCAGATTCTAGGTTCTGGGTACTCCCAGGAATTGTTGGGGAGATGGTGATATTTTTCTCGTCAACTTTTGAAGCAAACAACAGTGTTGGAGATGGACTTGACCCATTGTCGGTTGCACGAGGTTGAAAATTTTCTGCTGGCTTGTCATTATTTCTCTGCTACAAATAAATGAATAAAAATGCAAAATAAGAAATTGGACAGGTCGCACCTTGGCAATCATTATGAATATTTCTAAATGCAAATCCATTGCACCATCCTATATGATACTAATGAATGAATCCATTTGAATAACACACATCTACCTTGCTGGGTCTATTCCAACAAAGAAATGTGATTTAAATGATAAAAAATAGTAAATCTCCCAAGGAAGATATTATTTTCTTCCTTTAAATCCTACGCAGCTTATGATAGATAGGCTTGTATGGTATTTACCCAAGGCATTAATTTTTCTGGCTCGTTACTCCACCCTTGAAATGAACCTTCATACTTATGCACCTTTTCTTGTAAAAAATGAATATACTCAATGACCTACAAATTGTTCAGATTGAGCATTAATGAGCAATATAACAAATAAGATAAAAACTATGTCATCTCAAATGAACATACCTCTAATAAAAATGATGCTTTGTCCCTCTTTTGGTCACTGTGCGGAATAAGCTCTCGTAGCATTTGAAATCTGCATGATTAATTAAAGTGTTCTGTCAGAGGACTATAAACACTATCAACCCTGATTCATGATCTTTTAATTTGGTCCACCCTAACAAAAATGAGACAGCAATGGAAGCATAAAATGCCCTGTAACTTGCTTATACTATGTATCAAAATATGAAAATACTACTGTGGTAGACATGTAACTTTCAAGCGGACAAAATGATCTATTTGTTGATCGGTATTAGGGTGACTGTTGAGAACTAACTGATAAAACTATAAATCTAATAGAACTGTCACTAACTCATTACAAGTTGACCGTTAGGACCCATAAGTTACTCCTAATTATTATAAGGCATTTTTCTTTTAAATTATGTCAGTTTATATTCAGTTCATAAGTTTTTATTTCCACTACCCTATTTTCACTCCCTCCTTTCTATTTCTCACTTATTTCATCTCAATCAAACAAGGACAAATAGTATTTTCCAGTAGAAAAGTTCTCAAAAATACTTTTAAGTTTGTATACAAATAAACTCTAGAGAAGGAAAGTTCCGTTTGCGCCTTAATTGCAACTAGCGAGTGCCTCTTCTAGCATCCAGAAAAACTTCTATCAGGTTGGTAGGTAATGCTTGCCTGTCATTAATTTTGCTCCTTCTCCGCTGCTCTGTCGCGGAGTGTTTTGATCTCGGTGTGTTTGGCTTTTGATCAGTACTCTTCCCATCCACTTTCACCCTCAATTCTGTTGTAAATATTCACATAAGCTAACCTCGTGAGAAAATTTCAAACAAATGACCTAGGGGGCAAATAATCATCCCCTTCTTAGCTCGGCCCGACACAATGTTGGTAAATACATAACAATTACAAAAGTGATTATCGCACTCAAAATTTTCTCCTTACTCCCTCTTTAAATCAAAGTTAGAACAAAAGAATAATGAAAAACAGACAGGAAGAATAATTGTTAAAGAACAAAAAATATTATGAGACGAGAAAAATAAAGTATCACCCGAGTGCATCACAAAATTCGACTTGTTTTGGTTTGAGAGTCAAATTAGCCATACGTGTTCTTGCGAAAATTTAGCCGTGAGGTATTTTGTAGTCCAAAGATGAAGAAAAAAAAAGTTTTGTTGACTTACAGATCAAGTGTACCAGAGTAACAAAAAAGTTACGAACTTGAAGAGAAGTTTACTTGTACATTATTTCTATATAATATGATTGGTAATGACAAATTTCTATCACAATTTTATTAGTTATAATTTATTAAAAATTATAAAATTATGAATAAAAAATTTATTAAATAAAGAACGAGACTCCTATAAATTAATATTTTAATAAATTCTAATCAATGATAAAAAAAAATATATCATGGGAAAAATAAAGAGATAAAATCATAAAAAATATTTTAAGAATATGTTGAATAAATGATATAACTCTTAAAGTAAGACACATAGAAAAACGACCAAAAATACTAAGGATATTTAAAAAAAAAAAAACACTTAGTAATTTGTTTTTTAAACGTTAATCTTGTGATTATTTATCTTTAAATAGATCATCTTTAAAAGAAACTATTGACTTTTTAAAATTAGAGAATAAAAAAAAATTGTTTGACAAAGTATATTAAAAAGTGTATCTAGTTAAAATATCCACGATGATGCCAGCTAAAAGGAGAAATTTAACACGAACATTAATTGAGCTAGCTCAAAAATATTCTAAAATTTGCATAAAAGAGACATGGGCATGTTGCAGCCTTTCTGAAGAAGGGAATATTATAACTTACCTCTTTGGGTATTGGAGGGTTCTTTCTTAAGAAAAAATGTTTCTTCGTTTTCTAGCACTTCATCCGGGGCACTATCCCTTGCAGACTTCATCATTTCAATAAAACTCTGGTTTTTCTGTCCAGTTGTCCTGCGGAATCAATTCCAGAAATCCAGTACAAACATGTAAATAACCCCGCCTTAGCAAGCAACTCATTCCGATGAATAAAATTAATATTAAAAAAAAGGCGTATAAACATCGAACTAGAGGCAGAGAGACTAACTGAGATGAAGAGCGAGAGCTGAAGCTGCTGTGACGGTTGTTAGAAAACGACTGTGAAGTCCGCTCCGTTGATGTCCACTGCCCTAGTTTTGCCGCAGACTCTGTCACAAAATAAAGCGCGGCCAAAACGCTATTACCGTTTGTCATACTATATAATTAAATATTGATATTTGACAACAATCTTATTATTATTATTATTATTATATATTACTTCTACTGTTTTTTTTATTGCTTATACTGACACTAAATGAATTTGGTTAACTAGTCCAGCGCACTGCCACAGTGCTACCATCTATCTATTTCTATTACATGAAGATCTTAAAGGAATCAACGGATACACTGGAACCATACATATATGTAATACTTTTATAAGTTTTCATAATATTTTTTTGTTTTTTTTTATCACATTAATAATCTTATATACCATATTTGTTAGTTAGACACATTAATAATTGAACGTGGGAATAATTTTTTTGGAAATCCGTTTCCGTTGAATATTATTTCTAAATGCAAATCCGTTGCACCATCCTTTATATTTTTATTATTAATAATGAAAATCCCCTTATATTAAATACAATTAAATTAGAGGTATAACATGTTTAATATTAAATAGGAAATCATGAAAATAAATTATTAAAATCAACCCACGACATATTTATTTATATAAAATATAAAGATTTACAATTTACAAATTGAATTAAAATTAAGATTATCACAATGCTAAAATCAGCTTATCTTAAAAGGTAAAACATCTTCAATTTGATACAATATATCAACATTTAAAATTAAAGACAAGCTAAAATTAAGAAATAATATTTAAAATGAACAAAGTTAACAAAAAATTAGAATTAAATATTCAATGCAAAAGTCACGTGACTTGACAGCAAAAATGAAAAGAACTTTATAAAATACATTCATTTAAGAATCAGGGTTCAGACTTCAGATTTACAATAGAAGGATAAATTTCAAAAAGTAAAATCTTTTTAACATTGGAAAGCATGTAGATAGAATTGCTTTTTAAACATATTTCAAAATTATTATATTATTTATAAAAAATAAAACAGAACAAGCGTGTGATTTTGGATCAAAATATAACAATATAACAATAAAATAATATAAATTCGATTCAATGTTGTGAAACGAGGATAGAAAAGTTGTTGCTTGATCCTTGTTTGGATTTAGGTTTAGACTCATGCTAGTGTAAACAAATGTTGTAGAAAACTCCATAAAATTTTAGGACATGGTGGCACAAAATATTTAAGGCATATTTAATTAAGTATTTATTCAATAAATTGTTTTCATACAAAAACTTATGTTATAAATATTTATCTATGGAATTTGTTGAATTAAGATGAAAAGTATTTATTTTAATAAAGCCAAAAACTTATTAATAATAAATTAGAAAAATTTATAAATGTCATTTATTATATTTATATATTTAAATAAATTTGACCAAGTTTTTCCAAAATACTTTCTAATGCAAGATGGACATTATATATATATATATATAGAGAGAGAAATTTTATGGTTTACCTCCTAGAGTGGGTTTCTCGCCCGCATTATTCTCCTTTCCTGTCTTTCCCCTTTTCCCCGATGACTCTTCCCACAAAGTGAAACCACTTGAAGTATATGAACTGCAGTTGGAGTTGTCATCATTCCTATCCGTACTAGTTGCTTGACGCACGAAAAGGGAAGACTCTGGTTTCGGAACCCTTTGATTATTATTGACATATGAAATGTGGCTAATACTGTAAGTCCCAATTCCTCCAGGTAAGAGGTGTTCAACTGAAGTTGGTGGCTTTTGAACCGCCGATGATATTTCATCTGTGGCTTCTTCCTTGGCACTGGTTTTTGTTTCTAGCCGTTCTAGTGGCTGCAAGAAATCATGGGTCTTGAGGTAACTTCCTGTTCACACGTGAAAAAAGCAATAGGTTGTCAAGGGAAGAGAACGCCAACTCATTTTCATTCATGCCAAATAAAAATTACAACATATACAAACACTAATTAAAAGTGAATGCTAGAGCCTAAAGCTTCGTAGCTTGGAGATAGACGTTGAGAAAAGCTGATGCATCGTTTTCATTTTCGCCTAAAGCCTAGTGCATGAAACACAGGACGCGCAACAAGTGGCTACCAAGTGAACACAATAAGACAGTAATTAAGGTATTGTCGTTCACTTAATCATAAATATTCAAGTGTATTTTTTTTCTTCCATGGAGATAGTGTATCTGAATCCCAAATAAAAGAATAAAGATTAATCACATTCGTAATTTTCATTAATCAAACATTATTTATATAAAAAATTAATCATAAAACTACTAGATCGATGTATTCCTAACATGAAATGATATTATTGCATCGCTTTTTATTTCACTACTTTTAGTTCCATGCAAAACAACGTATTGATACTCTTTAAATACGCTAAAAGTTTAAGTTATACTTAGCGATAAAAGCTTATCAACACAATAATAAATTTCTGTGAAAATAAACCTAATTTTATTTATATAAAAAATATGATAAAGTATAGAAACACCATTAAATCAAAGTAGAGCCAAAAAAAACATTAAAAGCTTCACCGTTTTTGCTTGGGAGTTAAGAGAGGAAATAAAGTAAAGGAATCATACCAGGGAGGAAGTTAAAGAAATGAAGGAGATCAAAGAATAAGTTCTTACCTTTGTTTGGATGTTATCAATTAAAAAAATTATAAATATTAGTTAAATTAAAATAATAAATAATATTATGAATTTATAATTTTTATTATTTTAAAATTAAAAATTAACTTAATATGGTTTTTCAATAGTAAGACCTCTCAGAAATTCAAAGGTACTCAAAGGATGAATAGAAAATTAAAAAAAAAATCCTTTTCCTTTTTTAAAAAGCCCACAAATAATATGGTTAGGAAAAATATAAACGTCCTCATTAAAATGAGATAGAGATGAAAGAAGAGAAATATATTAAAAAAATTAGAAAGAGAACAATATAATAAATTGTTATAAAAAAATAAGGCAAAAATATTCTTGAACAATCAAATAACCTATTTTTCATTTATAAAAAAGAAGAAAAGAAAAAAAAAACTATAATTGATGATAAGAAGAGGAAAAAAATGACAATTATAACGAAGGGACGTCCAATTATTATTACTTTTTTGCTAAAATCCAATTATCATTACTTGAAATAAAGTTTAAAAAAATGAGATGGAAAAGAATATAAAATAAGAAATATATCTATAAACTTTTCATTCCCTCGTGTTTTTCGCCTCCAAATCTCAGTCGTACCCTTACACCGAAGAGGACGATTTTATGGTTTTAACGTTTTGAAATGTTACTACTTAGCTGTGTCGTAACTCGTAACGAAGATTTTACCTGTTAAATAAAAATATACTTAATCCATTAATAATTTGAAACACTAATATCGGTCTATTCTTTAAAATTAGAGTAGTATATATGAGGTTATAAACTCTAATTTCTTTATGAATATTGTAAAAAAGAAAAGTCAATTAATAGTTCATGTGCGTTGATTTTAAGAGAGGGAGAGAGAAAAGCACATGGAGATATATAGGAATGAGAAAAAAAAAGCAGAGTCTGAAGTTCCATAGGCTGATATACATAGCAAGCCAGCAGGCCAGGATATTCCAAAACCAAAACCTGAGCCGAAGGGACAAACCTTTCGCTTTGAGAAAAAAGAGCGAAATAAATATGTAGCGCCCAAAGAAAGAGCATAAATGCTTCCAAGTCTTTCATTTTCGTTTTCATTCCCTCAGGGCATTTGTGACTTGTGAGGTGGGAGAGAGAGAGAGAGTAATTTCTTTCACAAACGAAGAAAAAGGAAAACTACACCTACACGAGGACGCCATTCCCTCCTCAACAAGACCTGATGCGAAACGTCAAATCATCTGCAACTCCAATTCCAAATTGGGCCCCAACCATCCCATGTCCCACCCACCCTTTTATCAGACGGTGTTAAATACGTTGGGATTATTGACACTTCTCCGTTCGATGGGAAAGCCATCAGAGGACAGATATATGTGAATAAAAACACCACACAAATTTTGTTAAATGATAAATACGCACACCATGAGATTCATGGCCCAGATCCTTTGATTAAATGGCGGTCACGTGCACCAACAACCATGATGTATAACTAATTGAATTATTTAAAGAAATTGACCGTGATGTGGAATTTATACGATATTTACACCACGATCCCACGTCACAGAAAAAATGGCCAAAGCAGAGAGAAGTAAAAAAAAAAAAAAAAACAGTGAATTGATTTGCATAATCATCAAAAATTAAAAAGCGGGATACCTTGAGAAGATGGCCTTGGATCTTGTTGGGCAGTTGAATTACTGTAGAGTGACAGAAAGTCGTGCGTTGGTTTCCTCCCTGCTCGTGTTGCCGGAAAATTAAATCAGAAAATCTCATACCAACAAATTAATTATTTAAATTTCTAACGAAATAGGATCAGTTACTATCAGGAACTACCTTCGGTTCCAAGCGGACGCGCTTGAGGAAGCTCCATCAAAACCTGAATATTATGACGCTTTTCCGTCTCTGTTTTCCTTTCCCTTACCGGTAATTCAACGCAATTTTGATTTCCGGTCTTTCCGAAGATAAAATCTCATAGAATTCAAATCCGTTACCGCGTTGCAACACTGAATTCCCTTTGAATCCGGAAGCGAACGTAGGTATTGAGAATTTACAGCTTCGATTAGTATCTCGCAGATGAAAATTTCTCAGATCTTCTCAGATTACGTCCCCGGCCGGCAGAAGATCGGAGACGCATTCGTTCAATTTCGCCAACGAATAACTATTCACCAAAGCAACTGGATCAAATTTTAGCACCCAATTTTGTCGTGTATATATCAACGGAAACTTGCGCGATTGATCTCCACGGAAGTCATTGGACAAAAGAATACAGAGCGTGGAGTCAGAGATATTTGGCAGTTGGCAGAATCTGAAATCACATAATTCACAGAACCATAATTAAACTTCCGAAATCTAAAGCGGTTTCTATTCTAATGACTAAAGAAAACAAATCAAAAGTGGCAGAAGCGAAATTCGAGTTGGAGAATTGAGCAACGTAAAGAAAGAAAAGGTAGAGATCCAAAGGTAAATAAGATAAAAGTGCGTGGGAATTTCCATCAAGTGAGATTTAATTAGAATCTAGAATAAGTACCGTAGTGGTAGTGTGGAGCGGAAGGTGAGTAGTATATAGCGTAGAGAGCAAAATGGAAGTGCAGAAGAATGAGGGAGCGTTTGACAGCAAAGATATCTCTCTTTGTTTCCTTTGCTCTTCTCTCCTTTTTTTAACCACTTTCTCTGGATTCCTTTGTAGCTCTGAAAACGAGCACTACGGCGAAAGATAGGGTTTGGGGTCTCTTTCTATGCCGTGCCTTGAGTTCAGAATTGATAATTGAGATGAAACTTGAAAGATGTTTTTATATAGTTTCTTGCCTTATGTGTTTTCGCCATCCATTTCCATCTCCTTTTTCTCCGTCAAGTCACGAACTCCGTTTATAAACGTCGTTGCGGCGGGGTAACGACGTTAAACCCCTAACAAACGGTTTATTCTGTGCGACACGGCGCCGTTTGCCCCGGGAGACTCATAATTCTTTTTAGATGTACATGTACTACTACACTATTTTCTTTACACAACCCATAAATATAATACAGTACCCTCCTAACTTGCCACTAATTATTTGTGTCTTGTCACTAAAAACAATTAATTGCGTTCCGGAATTCTTAAGCCAGCAACATTCATACGGATACGGATACAGTACAAACAAATTTTAAATTTTACTGTACATAACTTGAGTTATAATTATTAATTAAATACATGTATATGCTCTGTGTCCGACCCTCATTATACTTAACTATTCAAACACTCGTCCAGAATGCAATGCAAACTGCAAAGTGAAACGTCACTTTAGCTAGCTGGATAATTCTATGGGCGAAAACAAAACAGTTGCCGAGGAAAAGAAAAATAATCTAAAACAGGAATGCAGCTAAGGCAATTTTTTTTATTTATCATATTTATAAATAAATATTTAAATATGTAAGTTATATGGTAAATTTTATTAGTTACTTATATTTTTCTACTTTGGTGTAAAAATAAATAAATATGAATGGTGATAAAAATAGGAAAATGAGAAATGTTTTGAGTTTTGTCTACACGTGGAAACTAAAAATGACGCAATTTGGTTGAAAAAAAGGTAACGTGAGAGTGAGAGTGAGAGGGAGCGTTGACATGGGAACAGAAGGCAGTTGACGTATTAAATGAAATTAAGAAAGGGATAAATAGAGGGGTGATGATTAGCGCACAGATCCCTAGCAATATTATGTGCGTAAATTACTAATTAAACTCTAGGTTTTGTTTAATTGAAAAAAGATTTACATTTGCCTTGTTTGGTTTTTATCCTTAGAATGAAGAGAGAGAATATGTTGGTGGTAAGTGGTAACTGGTAAGGGAGGAAATGTCACGTGCTGCACCACCTCCGCGGGATTCTTTTTATTTTTTGTTTTAGTTCTTAAATCTACCTCTCTTTGCTCTTTGCTCTTTACTCTTTACTCTTTACTCTTTATCGATCATATATGCCTCCATGTGCATGCTCTCAAGATTCTCTCTCTCATACCCCCCCACACATATATCAACAATACATTATATATGTACTCCCACCAATTCCTCTTTTTATATATATACCCACTCAATAAAAACCCATGCACTACTTACATTTTTTGGTATATCAAAGTTTTATTGAAAAAACAAAAACCTACTTTAGGATAAATTTTTACTGGCACATATTAAGAAATGAAATAATTAAAAAAGCATTATTTGATTGCAAATGATAGTAATAACTACTTTAGCATCTGACTATCAAGACCTTTATGTTGATTCCTACATTTTATAATTAATTAAATTAATATCCCATACATATAATTGAAAGAAACAACTGTTTATTATATATATAAGCAGCAATTAATTAACAGAAAATTTAGAAATTTGTCACGTTACGAAGGTGATTAAGTAGAGGCATGTGAGTCTTGAAGCTGTGTCTTGGCCTTTCTCTTTCCGCGGGATGCAGCTTCCCCCTACCTTCTTTGTTTTGTTTTGTTTCCTTCATCATCGTGTTTAATTTATAATTATTTATATCACTTTTATTAATGAAAGGATTCTTTAGCCTTCCGACAATCATGGCGAGCATTTACACTGTGATGCAAAGATACAATGGGACAGCTTGGAGTTACAATATCCATACATCTTTATCTTTTCTTCTTTCTCTTTTCGGATATATATACACACAACTTATCTTTGGTTCCGAGTACACTAATTAATCAATTCCTACAAAGTACAGACACCCCAAATTCGGACACATGGCATACTTTCTATGCCGTCAAATTTAAACAACTCCAAGTGATCTCATAAACACCTCAAAATTTGATTCCTAATATCCGTGATGATATTTATTAAGAGCACTTCATTTCCTAGTTCTTAAATTGCATATATACCGCAGTTTGCAAACAAGTTATAGTTAGTGAGCATGCAATAGTAAAATATAGTTATTACCAAATTATAAAACTTACATGGTAAACAGTTTGTGATATACCACACCATTAAAAATAAATAAATACGAAACTAATACTTTGGGGCAGATCTAAATGATAAACAGATGAAAATGTCAGTAAACATATCAATCTTTGTTGGCGTGGCACACAGAGAGACACACATCTTTAGATGACAACTTCTCGTTCAAGAGATGTATTTAATTCAATAGATTCATATTTTGAGCTTATATCAAGAGATGTTCCACGTTTAATTCATCTTGAATGATATGACAATTTCTCGTTCAAACTTCACAATATATATATTAAACTTTAATTCTTTTAAATGTTTTTGTAAAAGATTTGCTAAATAATTAAGAAGTCATTTAAAATATTACAGGTATAATATATGTATATATATATTAGGGTTGTTATATCTTATATGTACGTGTATAATAAAACCCGTTTTGATATTTATGTACCTGAAATTTTATTTTGCATTGTTGACAAAATTTTGGGTCATTTATTTTTCGACTCTCAATAAAAAAAATTTCCCAATCTCAAATATAATATAAGCTTAGTAATGGTGTTCCATGGCATGTGATTTTGCTCCACTTTAATATTTGTCTTGTTCCACTCTGTTAAAATCAAAATCCAAAGTTTGTTTAGTTAAAAAATATATATTAAAATTGGTACACTACTTAATTAGAATTAATAAAAACGGGCCGAGTTTAAAAGTTTATTGTTTAACCAGGTTTTAAAAAATTAATTAGATGATTAATTAGGTTTAAAAAATTAAAAAATAATTTTTTAACTTAATTTGACTGTCTTAAAATTTGATTGACTTGCAATGAGTAAGGCCAATAAATTTGTTTTATTTTTATAATAATATAAAATATTGTTACAACTTATCTACTTGTTAGCCTTGTTGATTTGGGATAGACGTTGGGGGTTTAATTAGGAAATATTTAAATAAATCTAGCTATATAGGTTAAGAATATAAATTTATATTTAATTTTCAAATTTTATTTATTTGTTTTTATATTCTAAAATTATTTTTATTATAGAAAATATGCTTATTTTAACTTAAAGTTTTTATTTTCTAATTGCGGACATGCTTTCTTATTTGTGTAATTTTCCACAAAGGATTAAAGAATATTTTGAGGTTTTTAATGATAAAGAAAATATATTGTATATAGTGTTTCATAAAATTTGAATCAATGATCGACTTGATTAAAATACTAAATTAATGAGTTACTGATTAAAGTGTTTAAATTGATACATAATTAAATATATAAGTTTGAATTATAATTGTACAATAAAAATTATTTAAATATTATATATATATATAGAGAGAGGGGGAGAGGAAGAGAAGTTGGTTAGGTGGTAATAAAGATTCATGTAGAAAAAATGACGACTCACATCGATACCATACAACACAAATAGATATTAGGTCACATTAATAACTTTTTTTAACCCTTCAATGTTCGTATTCTATACATTAAAATACTCAAATCGACTAGATTCTTGATTCTTGGTTAAATTGGTTGGTCTAAGGTCCACCTTCAAAACACTAATTATATTAATGAAATGTTAAGTTACACTGATCTATAGACTCTTTCATTTAGTATGATTTGACCTTATTAATTGCACCTTCATCCAAAACACATAAAAATAAATTATTTTATCACAAAATTTAAACAAAATCTATTATTAAAGAAGTGTTAATAACATTCAAGCATAAAAAAAAGTAATATAAGAAATATAAGACTAAAGTAATTAGACATACTCTAACATATTCTAACATTTAAAATTAAAATATTTAACATATATGTAAAATTAAGGTAATTCCTCAAACATATCTAAATTGTCTAAGTTACAATAATTATCCAAGTGATCTTTATATATTTTTTCTCAACTTAAATGTCAACTTACAAATAATTTATTAAGTAAAAATAAATGCTAGAAATTATGTAGTATTTAGTCTAATTTCTACATTAAAACAAAGTGAATAATAACTATGAAATTGGCTAAAAAGTAAAGTTGAATGGACAAAGGACGTTTGATGTGTGTTTATGTGTGAATTGTATGGTAACAGGTAAGTAAGTGTAAAGTAACTAATAAAATAATATTATAAAATATATTAATATTATAAAATAATAATATCACAAAAGAACTATTATAACTCTAGTATTATTAGAGTGTTATTGTAATATAATAGTGTCATATTCATGTGTTATTAATAAAATCATAATATTATAAAATAATATAAATATAATAATTATAATAATAAAATAATAATAATTTTAATTAGTCTGATTCTCAAGTCATTAGATTTATAAAATACAAATTTATAATCTAAATTAATTAAGGTCAAATTTGTTTGATTTAAATCATATTTGATCAACTTAAAAAAAACAACTTATTAATTGATTTAGTTCAGATAATTAATTTTATTTAATTGTCTTAATTGAGAAAAACTTCGAGAATAGAATATGGCTATTAAACATGGTATTTTTTAAAACATAGAAAATAATGTTTTTCCTTTCTTTTAATATTTGGTTAATTTTTTGAAAATATTTTAAAGAAAATGTTTTCTAATATCTAATCAAAAGTATTCCAAATTTCCAATGTGACTTTTAGTTTTTATTTGTGGAAATGAAAACAAAGAGTGTCCAAAATAATGGAACTTTAAGGCGCTTTTTTCTTCTTTTTTTTTCTTTCAATTTTCTTTATTAAAAAAATGGGTTAGCTGAATCGGTGCACAACTCGCAGAGAATTGGTGTAGTAAATTTTTGACAAGAGAGTTATGTAAATTTCACCTTTTATAAAAGAGTTATAAGAAAAGTAAATACAGAAAACGCATTCCTATATATATATATAAGATTGAAGAATGTAACGTGATGAGAGGTCACTTTCATCAGTTTCGTGAATGGGGTTACAGAAGAAGGGGATGGGGGCCACGTGAGTTGACCCTAACTCACGTGCATAAGAACA